GAAATTTGAGATTAGAGTATGAATTAGAGTATATTTATACCAGATATAAATGCCGAATCGCCTTTAGTAAATACATCGCGAACTATTTTTTTTTCAGATGCTTTCTGATCCACATATCCCAAATATGCTCTAAATGGATTGTTTGGTATAATTTTTCCAACAAAAACACCTGGTTCATCTAAATGTGATGATAGAAATTGTAAAATAAAAAAGAAAAAGAATTTTTAAAATGTAAGACATTTTAATTTACGACATTTAAATTAAGACATTTAAATCAACTTACTCGGTCCACATATTTGACATAAACCTTTTGCATTTCTTATAGGTTCTCCATCAGCATCAACTTTTATAATGGAAATAGGATAAACTGATGGAACTATTCGAGATACAAAACCAATGGCTCCAACTGTATTATCAACATTTACTTAAAACAAAATAAGAAATATTAACATTATTATAAAATGAATACAAAATAAATTATTTATTATTAAAAATAATAAAAATTTATTATGATTAAATCGATAAAAAATAAATTATTTATTATTAAAGATAATAAAAATTTATTATGATTAAATCGATAAAAAATAAATTTTTAAATTTTAATATATTTTTATTAAAAACTGATAAATATTAATTCTTACCAATGTTAGCATTGCCCTCTGTTGCTCCATAGAATTCAGCAATTTGTGGAATATTGAATCGTTCTACGAATTCGGGCCATATTTGTGGTCTCAAACCATTTCCAAACATTATCCTGATATTGTGTTGTTTGTCTTCCGGTTTTGGAGGTACAGCTAAAATATATCTACACATTTCTCCAATATATTGACCAATCTAAAAATTATTTAAATCTATTTCTTTTCACATTCATATTTTTTCAAGAATTAATTCTTGAATAAATATCACAGTGAAATATGTATTATCTTTTAATAATAATTGAAACATAGAGAAAACTTACTGTACACTTATATTTGATGCAATCAATGAAATAAGCACTTGCTGAAAATTTTCTTCTAATTACAACTGTAGCTCCATGAAGAAGAGCTGCACCAATAGACATTACACCACCAGCAGTATGATATAAGGGTAATGGTGTATAAATCCTATCTGAAGTTTTAAACTTTGCTAACATAAATATACCGACTGCCATAAACATAAACCTAAAGTGAATTAAAAAAATGATTTCCATTATAAATATTATTTTTCAAATATTTTAAAATATTTTATATATAAGTAAAAAATTAATTAAAAAATGAATAGAATAATCTAAAATCATTAAAAAATTAACACTGATTATTATCACTAAATAATTTTAAAACTAAATATAAGTAAATTTTAAGTATTTAATAATATTAAATAATTTCAATGTTTTTTTACCTAGAATTTGTTATAACAGCTGCTTTTGGAAGGCCAGTTGTACCACTAGTGAAAATATACACTAATTGATCATTATAAGAGCCTTTTTCTTGAAGAAGCGGTGGAGTTGAAGAAACATTAGCCATAAGGACAGTCAAATCATTATCATTTAAATTTGATGTCTTTTTATCTGGTAAATTACCGATTCTATACAGTGGAAATTTTGGATCCAGAGAGTTCATAATGTCTGACACAGCTAAAATAAATTTAAAATAACTTAATAATTTTCATCTAAAAATTTTTTATATAATTCAAAGATATTCTAAACATGATTTACATATTTCTTTTTCACAAATAAAAACGAATTATGAATATTCGTATATTATTCTAATAAAAATTATATATTATTTTAATTTATATCTTTCTATATAAAATATTAAAAAAATTTTTTTTTTTAATGAATATGTTTTTAATGAATGTTAGTTACGAAATATTTGATAATAAACGATTTATTTCTTTTTATACATATACAATATTCAATATTTTCCTTTAATTCAAAGAATTTATTTATTATATTACAAATATATATAATATTTATTATAAATATATATATTTTTCTAATTTTATTCAAAAAAATATTTAAAATTTTTTGAATAAGATATTTTTTGAATAAGATATAATATTGTTTGTTATAAAATTTCTTTTTGAAATTATGCAATTTTAATAAAAAATTATAAAAAAAAATTATGAAATTATAAACCAAAGTAATATCAGATGTATCCTGTAATAAATATGTACATATAAATATTATCATGTAAATAATAAGAAAAAAATAATGAATGCAAAAACAAAAGAATAAATAAATTACAAATAAAGTATTAATTTTATGATTATTTATCAATTATTATCATTATTTATTATCATTATCGATAATCAAGGATAATAAAATTAATATAGTATATTAATAATTTCAATCATAGTAAAAAAGAATTATAAAGTTTTTTGAAAAATTTATTTCATTTATAATTAATCATTATTTTTATTTTAGGAATAATTCTTGTATTGTATTTTTAGAATAAGATAATGTAACAATATGTAATAGAAAAAAATAATCATAACTTTAAATTGTTAATATTGAAATTTAATAAATAATAATTTAACTCTTAACTTAATTCCGATAATTTAACTTTTATGTTTTTTTTTTAAGTTGAAATTTAACGACAATAAAGCAATAAATGTGATAGCCATCAGCATTATGCAATCATTTATAAAATAGACCTCGAGTCGAATCGACTATGACACGCAACCAAACACCTAATTTTGTTTCATTCTGGAGTAGTTACTTTTGTTTCCTATTATTATTGAATCAATCATTATAATTGGTACTATTTATAAAATAATTTTATACATTTAAAAATAAAATATAAATTAAAATAAAATCGTAAAAACGTGGTAAAAAACAAATATTTGTATCTCATTTTAATATCAACTTTGTACTTATACAAGTTATATGTTATACATGCTAAAATAAATAAATTAAAATAATTAAAGATTATTTATTAAAAGCATTTCTAAAAAAAAACTTTTTTAGGAAATTTATGATTTATTTTAATATCTATATATCTAATACGAAGTAAATATTCATTGAATAAAATTAATCTAATTTTAAAAATTAATTATAAACAAATAAAAATATAATTTTAATTTTTTAATAATTAAATTTTTTAATGCTTACCATCGATGAAATCCACTCCATAAATAAGAGCTTGACACTTGGACACTTTAATACTATGCAAGAGAGAGGCTTTACGAAGATTGGTGTTAAGCAATGGTATTATTACCCCTAACTTACTTAGTCCAAGCCAAATGGCAACGAATTCTGGTCGATTTTCTAAAAGCATACCGACTACATCCCCTTTGTGATATCCATACGTTGAGAAAACAGTAGCGATTTTGTTACTATAATCCTCTATCTGGAAATGTTTTATTAAATTTTTTTAAATTAAATGATATACATATAAAATATGATATATTTATATATATACTTTTTTTTTGTATCCATTATACTAAAATAATTTTTTTTATAAAGATATAAAAATTTAATTGATTGTTACGATATTTAATATTTATTATTATACAACTATTTTAATTATATAAATAGCAAAGTTTAATATAAATAAGTATTATAATTATTTTATTTGTTAGTAAAAAAGTATTTGTTAATAAATGATAATTAGGTAATAAAATATTGAAATAATAAAATTTATATGGAAAATTTATTTTGTGTTTTAAGATACGAAAGAATTCTCGAAAACTATCGAAGAAATTATAACTGTTCATTTTTATGAACGAAAGAAAAGTATATATCTAACGGTAAAAATATATATATATAACGGTAACAAAATTATTAATGTTTTTTAATAGTTTTATAGTATAAAAATTCAAATAAATTTATTACACAACACAGTTCTTTAATAAAAATGCATTAAACATGAAAGCAAAATATTTATGCAATAAATAAATTATTCTCAAATATCATCATGTTAAAACATTCTATATTATTATTATTTAAAAAAGCTAACAATTATTCTTCTATGTTTAAAGTTAAAAAATTATTTGGGAAAATTAAAAAATTTTAATTATGAAATAATTATGAATAATTATTTTATACGAAAAAAAATTATAATAATTCTATCGAAATATAAATATCAATACGATTTTTAATTAGAATTAAATAATTACAAATAACGGTTTTCAGTCAGAGTTCAATGATCCGTAGGTTAAACTATTTTATTATTATTATTATTATTATTATTTATTATTATATAAATAGGAAATTATTTCATTTAATCTTATATTATTCATCTCTTAGTTTAAATATTAATAAGAAAGAACAATATAATACAATATGAACAATAAATATACGTTATACTATACATTAAATATATTATATACAATTTTTTATATATTGTACATAATATTCCCATATTAATATTTTTAATCATATTTACTACTGAGATAAAATTTATTTATCATTCACTAATTGCAAAAATTAAAAAAGTATAATTGCAGAAAAAATAGATTATGATAAGAAATACTAGAAATACTTATTTTAAAAATCAAAAATTAAATATGAAATTTAAATTTTTCTTTAAGATTATATTTTTATAAAATTAAATATTATATAATCTTACTTGTTGGAATGTCCATTCTTGATCTTCGGAAATAATACAAACTTTATTAGGATGCTTTCTAACATGTTGCCGAAATACATCGGCGATTGTTCTGTTATTTCTCTCATGGCCACGGATAATCCAAAGAACTTTTATATATCGTGTAATAGCTCTGTAAAAAATAAAAATATTATATTTGTACTTTCAATTAGAATCTCACTAGTGTATTTCTTAAAATTCAAAAATTTAAAAAAAGTCAAGCAGAAAATTTTTTATGCAAAACTTGTTAAAATAAATTAAATTAATTATGATATTGATATATTGATAATATATTATTGATACTTGCAGTATTATTTCTTACATTAAAGCTAAAGTTTTTGACGTTCATTTTTTTCAAGAAGAAAAATGATTTCAATAAGATAACGCCATGCATATCTATTTATTATGATTTCTGTTTCTTTTAATGAGTGATTTTTTAAAAATAATTTTTATCTCAAGATTTATTCAATTGATCATTTGGAATTGCGCCATCTGACATCATACGAATTCTTTCTCTGAAATGTTAAATTAAAAATATGCATCGCTAATCTACGATCAATTGAACAATCAAAAAACAAATATATTTATGAAATTATTTATGATACAAAACGAAAATTATGCGATAATTATAACAAATTGGACTAAAAGAATTTATTATATATATTGAATTAAATAGTATTTAATTTAAAACATTATTTTATATATTTTGAAATAGGAAAATAGATTTTTTTTATATTAGAATTTATATTAGAAAGACAGAATTATATCGTATAATTAGATATATGATCAAATCAATTTTTTGAAATTTTCAAAGAAAAAAAATATAGATTTTGTTACGAAACAACATTTTTTAGAATAGAATAGAATAAATCATAGAAAAGATTGATCAATGATCGAATAATTTTAATTCTTTTATTCTATCTATTTTTACTTACAATCAATTGATAAAGTATTAATCGATGCAATGATTTTTAGGCAAAAATTTATTTTGTTTAAAATTATATATATTAAATATTAATAATTAAATATTTGAAGCAATTTAAACAATATAGATATGCTTAAAAAACATAATAAATAATAATATAAATATAACTAATATAATTTCAATTAATATTATTTTTCATGCAATAAATCAAAATTTGTTAAATGAACAGCATTATTTGTTAACTTGAATTATTTAAATCATAGAAGAAAATAACAGAGGCTGAATGAAGTTCTTAGCAAATTCATTTCTTATTGAAGAAGAGAAATATACATTACATAATTATCTTTACGTAATTATGCACAATAACAAGCAAATATTATTTTAAAGTCTAAAATTGCTAAAATTCATTTTTATTTCATAATTCATTTTAAAATAAATGATACTTAAAGAATTTTAATTTTAAAATATAAATATTCTATTTGAAAAAAAATTACAAATTATAATTTAAAATTAAAATTAAATATTTAAATTATAAATATTAAAATGAAGATATCAAGTATCTTTTATTAATATATTATTTATTAATATATATAAATTAATATATATAAATAATATATATAATATTATATATATAAATAATCTTATATTAAAATAATTAGAGAAAAATATTACAAATAATTTGAAATTTTTTTTTTAAATTATTTTTTTTCAAATTTTAAAAATATAGATATTCTTTAAAAAAGAAAATAAAAACGAAAAAAATAAAAAAAAAACTTGAAATTATTAAGTTAAATTATTTTGATGTATATGATTGAATGATTGAATTGTAACATAAACCAAATCTTAGGCTATCTTAAAAGGAAATTTAGTTGGTTAGCTTAGTTGGTTCAACGGACTAGTTAAACCAACAAGAGAAATCTGTATGCTACGCACGTCGTTTTGAACTATTTACTACTGATCAACATTAGTTTTTATGCAATTGCATGAATGACGTATAGATACAATGAGTTAACAGTATCTAAAAACTCGAAAATTAGTTTCACATACATTTAATTATTTTATAAATATTTAAATATTGCATTTTATCACATTTATTATAAAACATTTTAAAGAATACAAATATTTTTTTTTTACTTAAACTGATATTTTCCAATATATCAGATAGCACATTTTAATCTTTTCAATACATTACTTTTTATCACGAATAATATATAAAATTTACAAATTTACATAAATAGCAATAACAAATAATAATATTTTTAATATAGACTATATATAATTTATGAAGTCGACAATTAATGAACGATAAGTATATATTTTAGAAAAAATAACTAATATAATGTAAATTAAAATAAAATATAAAAAAAAATAACTAATATATACTATAATAATAAAAAAAAATATATAATATAAATATATGTAATATATGTACAAATAATAATAAAAAATGAAAAATAAATTATTATTTTTTAGAAAAATACTTAAAATGCAAAGCAATAAATTTAATGAAAAATCATATTAATTTTAATTATCATAATTATTAATTAACTAGTTCTGACTTATTTCTATATATATATATATTTTTTTAATATGGTTCGATGCAATAATTTTATTGTAAAAATAATTTTAATTTATATATAATATA